TTCCTCCCTTAGTGTCCCCCACACCCTTTCTCTCTCAGCCTCTCCCCACCCCTTCCCCACCCTCTCCCCTGAAGCTCTTGTCTGTCTGACCACAGAATCCTTACTCCTCCCTGCCTGCTCTGGGGGCCCAGAAAGGATAGCGTGCGATGCCCTAGGTGAGAGCTGAGCCAATGTAAGCACAGGTATGTGTGAATGTGTGTGAAATGTTAGGGGCAGGCGTGACCTCACCAGATGTACTGATATCTGCTGCAGGCTCAGGCCATGTTTTCCTAGGATGGGTAGCAGGGCTTCCTTCAGGCGCTTGGAAGATTTGCTTGTGATCCTGACCACTTTGCCCAGAGCTGTGATCTCCAACCTAGAGGACAGAATGTCACAGCTGGAAGGGACCTCAGAGGCCTTCTCCTCCAAACTCCTCCTTTGACAAAGGAGGAAACTGAGAACCAGAAAGGGTCGTCCCAGGTCATAGCTAGTCAATAACAGGGCCAGGCCTTGAATTCAGGTGTTCTGCTCTTCAGGAGGATGGGAAAGGGCTTCTCTGTCTCTGTCTCTCTCTTATCTCTCTGCCTCCCCCACTCCCCCAATCTTTCTGGATCTGTTTCTATGTCTCTGCCTCTGTCTCTCCCCCTCCCCATCCCCTTACACACACGTAATCCTTACCCTCAGCCTGCCCCTTCAAATCCCAAAGATCTATAGCCCCTAGTCTAGTCTGGTAGGGCAAGGGGAAGAGATGGAGGCCCTTAGGCTCCACCTGCATGGGAGAAGGGAAAGGCACTCACTCAAAGTTGATTCTGTTCTCCAGCTTCACCTCCTGGTCAGCCAGCACCGTGCAGTCCTGATCCAGGACCAAGGCCTTCTGTGGACACAGCCACAGGGGTTCAGTAAGGACACTGCAAGCCCCCATCCAGGCTTTGGGGAACCCGAAGGAAGAATCCCCCCCCATACACACACCACACACACACACACACACACACACACACACACACACACACACACACACACCCCACACCAAATTCCAAGAATAGCTGCTAAAAGGCCAGAGGGCTTGAGAAAACCTAAAATTCTGATGTCAGGGTCTGATATTCTGAACCTTTTGATGCTTTCCAGGATAGACAGTCTAAGGGCTCTGAGCCCTGAGACATGGGGAGAGGGAGTTAGTGTTAGGAACAAGGAGAAGAACAGAGACAGGGTTAGGTGGACTGAGAGACAGTGACAAAGGTCTTAGAGCTCCTTCATGTCCGCTTCTCCCACAATCCCATCTCTCCCATGCCCATGGTCACCCTTAGTCCTTCCTTCATCCAGTCCCCCCATCACCTGATGCCCCCATTCACCTTCCCACCACCCATCTGGCATTCGGCCTAGTTGGCCTTGTATTGACAGTTAAGTCTTTTGTCATTGCCTCGTCTGTGACCCACGATAGATTATAAACTCCTGGAAGGCAGGGCATGGTGTTGTGCCAGTGGTTAACTCTTAGGATCACAGAATGTTGGAGCTGGAAGACCCCCTTGGACATCATCTCGTTCAATCCTTCCCTTTTATAGATGAACAAACTGAGGCTGAGGGAGGAAAAGGTATGTGCCCAGGATCACACTCACACACACAGTAAGAAAGAGGCAGACCCAGGACCTCGAGTATCCTGATTCTCAGGCTAGGGCTCTTAATCTCTACCAGAGACAAGATCGGTTAGGGATCAGGTTAGGGTTAAAATCAGAGTTAGGGTTGGGATTGTGCTTTTTTTTGGGGGGGAGGTCAGGTGTTCAGACTGATATTTAGGGCTCAGTTCCTACCTGCTCGTTGCCCACCAGGTAAACCTTGATATCAGGCAGGGACAGGCCTCGCTTCTCACAGATGCTGGCCAGCATAGAGCGGATGGTTAAGCCAGGGCGGATGAGTGCCAAGGATGCCGTGCCATCTGGCAGATATACGCAGCAGTAACGTCCAACCCGATTCTCACTTTCACCCTCAGTGCCCCCCAGGCTCTTCCGGTGACTCTGAGTCTAGGTAGATGACAAAAACACACACATGCTCAGACATGCACAGATACTCTGTGAACAAGTGTGGGGAAAGTGGATAGGAATATACCCTAGAGAGGAGAGGATTTGTTTACCAAGGGGAAGAGAGAAGAGAAATCACTGGGGAAGGGGAGGGCTTACAAGTGACTGGGGTAGAGAGCCAGGGCAGGGAACTTGGAGGAGAAAGCTGCAGGCCCCAGGCTGTTGGGGTTGGGGGGAGTGGGAGGAAAGAGACCCTCACCTCAGATTTGCTACTGACAAATGCCAGGAAACCGAGGTCAAGGCTGGCAGAAGAGTTGAGGGAGCCTTGGGACTCTCGGCGAAGGGCTGAGTTCCCATTGGTGGTGCCTAACTCTGAGGGGAAGAGAAAAATGGTCTTTAAGTGAGACCCCTTTCCCAGGCTGCCCCCTCACATGCAGTAACTGCCTATAGCTTCTTTTCCAGTTCTGGTCAGAGAGGGAGGCCAAGATGCAGAGATAGGTCAGAATTACTCAAGAAAACACACACATATACACAAGCTTACATATATACAAACACACATATACATGCAAGCATACACATATGCACACACATACATATGTATGCAAACACACATGCATACATACATACAAACACACCTGTATCTTGGAACCAGACCTTGGAATCCCTCAGAGGTGACTCTTTTTCCCCTAGGCAATTGTGATTAAGTGACTTGCCCAGGGTCACACAGTAAATGTCTGCGGCTGGATTTGAACTCAGGTCCTCCTGACCCCAGGCCAGTGCTCTATGCACTGTACCACCTAGCTGCCCTTCAGAGGTGACATCTGAGAGCACCTAAGAGCCACGCTGAAGTCTTGTAGGGAAAGGTTATTTAACACCTGGACTCTCGCCAGCTGGGGGCCTTCCTTGATTTCTCCATTGTATTGGGTGCTCACTCTATGGAGAACTTGTGGGAGAGCATGGACAAGAATACCACAGGATGGGCAAGAGTGGACGGGTTGCTATCTGTATCGTCAGAGGGGACTGTCCCCCATCGGCGGATCCATCTGAGTGCTGGGTGCTCTGGCTAACAGCCTGGACTCCAGCCCTGTGATGACTCAGCCCAGGGTTCTGGCAGGCCCTACCCTGCTTTGAGCACCAGCTGCACAGGGCCTGTGTCGTCCTCTGAGGACCGCTTTGGTGAGGATCACAGATGGGGAACAGAACTTCCCAGAACCATCTACCACAGCCCAGTGAGGCAAAGATCTCTGTCTGTGGAGGCATTCAAAGCTGCAGTAGCTAGCATTTCCATAGCACCCTAAGGTTTACAAAGCGCTTTACAAATATCATCTCATTTGACTCTCACAACAACCATGGGAGATAGGTGTTGTTATTATTCCTTGTTTGCAGATGAGGAAACTGAGGCAGCAGAAGTTAAGTGACTGGCCCAGGGTCACACAGCTAGGAAGCGCTTGAGGCCAGCTTTGAGCACTCGCCCACTCCAGGTCTAGCACAGATCTTCTGTTCATAGAAACTCAGAATGTTGGCACTAGAAGAGACCTTTAAAACCACCATTCCACCACCCCACCCCGCCCCCCCACACATTGTCCCCCCCGCCCAGGCTTTCCTCTGCTCACCCCTTCGGAAGGACTTCCTGGGCCCCCGGCCCCCAAAAGCCTCAGTATTCGGCAGCTGACCCAGCTCCTCCACTCCCAAGGGCAGCGACTTCCCAGGCTTCAGCTTTGGCTTCTGGGGGAGAGCCCGGCATTCAGGACCCTGCCCCTCCAACCCATTCCCAACTCCCCAACTCCTGTCCAGAGGGTTTTCCAGGCTGGCCCACCCTAACCCTCAGAGCTGGGGCTGGAGGTTGGTGCATTTCTGTGCCCTCAGGAAGAAATATGCTGCCTGAAAAGCAGACTGAACTGGGTGCAGGCCTAGGCCTCTTCCCCACCCCATCTAGTTTTTTATATTTAAATGTTTTCAGGTGTGTGTGTGTGTGTGTGTGTGTGTGTGTGTGTGTGTGTGTGTGTG